GAATTGAACAAGTATTTTTAACATGGCTATGCTAATGTTCTACCGTTGAACTATCCTATTTTTAAGGTGGTGGGGGGTTATTACTTAGAATATTATTATACATATTATCTAATAATAAATAATATTATGAGTATAATAATAAGAAAGCGATCATTAATGCGAATAATCCAGTAGCTTCCGCTAAAGCGAAACCTAAGATTGCAAATGAAAATAATTGTCCTCTAACTTGAGGATTTCTAGCTGTTGAAGAGATTAATGCTGAAAAGATTAATCCAATACCAGCTCCGGCTCCAATTAAACCTGAACAGGCTAATCCAGCTCCTAAATATTTAGCTGCTGCTAACATTTAAGTATTATAATAATACTTTTTATGATAGTGTCTAACGTTTTAAAATAATTATATATAATAATACCCTTTTAGTAAAAATAAAAATTATAAACCCAAAGGCTAATAATCCAATCCTATTATTATAAGGTCCAAATTTTAGAAAAAGTAATAAATTTTGTGATATAGGTGTAGGTGTCAATTAAGGGCAATATAAACGTAGAGTTTGCAAAAATTATATATAGATAAGGATAGGCAGATTACTCTATTTTTTAAGGTTTATTCTTTTTATTTTAAGTTTAATATAAAAAAATATTATAATAAAAAAAAAATTTTTTTTTTTGTTAAAAATATTCAATAAGCTTAATATATACCTACTCGACTAAGAACTACCCTATGCACAATTACTTCCGCCTTCACTTTAACAAGTCGCCAACCCACCATTGTTGAGTGAAATGGATTGCAAAATGAAGTAGAGAAGAGTAGGAAAAAAAAAAAAAGGCAAAGGGGGGACGAGGAGAAAATTGTGGATTTGAACAAAATTAATATGTCTCATTTTTTAATTTTAAGTTTTAAAAATAAGCTATTTTACGTTTAATTATAGATTAATACTGAAGTATATTCAACTTATCATTTTCTATTCTTTAAGACTTTTTAATATAATTATAATTTGTTGTTGTACTATATTTAACTGTTAAGTTTAATCCTTGTAATTTTAATATAAAAAGGAGATACCAGCCCTTTTTTTTTATAGTTAGTTATAAAAATATAAAGGAATATTGTATATTAGTTGTCATTTTTTTATGGTCGTCCAAAGAGGTATTTTCAAATCTAATTTTATTTAATTAAGAGTAAGATATATAAAAAAGGAAAGTATCGAAGAATGAGGTTAAATAAAAATTTTAATTTAATGCTCATTTGTTATTAAATCATTGGTTATATATTTAAAATATATCTTCTTCTAGACTATCTACTGTAATTCATATTTTTGGTAAATCACTATTGTCTTTACTCTGAGATAAAAGGAAACAAAAAAAAGTTTTTAGAAGAATATTTACTAATACTAGTAATTGCTATAATATAAACTCGAAAATTATAGCCCATTATTTTGAGTGTTTAAATCTTAATTAAAAGAGTTAGTTTTTTTCACTAACTTAAGCAATCATATTAATAAATTAATTTAAATATTAATTTAAGACGCTATTTTTTTTTACTTATTGTAACATTCTTTCCCTTAAAGGAAAGCAAAAAAAAAAAAGAATATTATATTAAATTCTAATTGAATTAAATAAAAAATGGAGTCTTATAACTACTATGATGTTATTTTTTATTAAAATAATTTATATTACCTAAATATTTTTATAGTCGTCATTTATAAAAAACAAACTTATTTAACTTAGTGTACACTAATTAACCTTTCTTTTTAATGCTACTTGCTTTTCTCTATTGGTGAAAAAAAGGAGTATATGAGAAGTAGGTAGAGTGGCTAATTTTAAATTAAGCTTGTTATTTTAAGGTATCCTTATTTTACTTTTAAATTAATGACAACTAATATAAACACTAACCACACAAAAGTGGAAAATGTAGCAGGTAACTTAAAACAAATACAATATCAAAATTTTCCTTTTCATTTAGTAGAGACATCTCCGTGGCCAATTCTTGTCAGTTTTTCATTATTAACTCTTACTTTAAGTGCTGTAATGTATATGCATGGTTTTGCAAACGGAGGGACTTTATTAATAATAGGTTTTTTTGTGACAGTTTTAGGAATGATTTTATGGTTTAGAGATGTTATTACAGAAGGAACTTATCAAGGACATCACACAACACAAGTGCAAAAAGGATTAGAAATAGGTGTTCTATTATTTATTATAAGTGAAATTTTTGCTTTTTTAAGTGTATTTTGGGCTTTCTTCCATTCTAGTTTATCTCCTGCTATAGAAATAGGAGGAGTTTGGCCTCCACAAGGAATAACACCTTTAGATCCTTTTGCAATACCATTACTTAATACTTTTTTATTATTATCTAGTGGTGCTTTTGTAACTTATTCTCATCATGCCTTAATAGAAGGTAACAGAAAAGGAGCTATTTCAGGTGCAATTACTTGTGTGTTATTAGCTATGATTTTCACAGGTCTACAATATTATGAATATTCAGAGGCAGGATTTACTATTTCTGATTCTGTTTTTGGTTCTGCCTTCTATGCTTCAACTGGATTACACGGATTCCATGTTATTGTGGGAACTATATTTCTTAGTGTAGGATTAATAAGAATTATTTCTTACCATTTAACTGTAAATCACCATCAAGGTTAT